CTATGAGTTAAAAGAAAGGAAATAATACATACCTGTGCTTTTCTAACATTTGAATGGTTGGGAGGAGGCAGCAACTCAGGTAAGATCGCAATTGCTTTCAAATTAACTGGAAACAAAAAATTTTCATTAATAAAATTTTTAAAAAAGTACATGACAGAAAATGCTTTGCACTCACTACTCACTGTCAAAGTCAATTAATTCCTCTAGTAAATGAGGTGCCACATTTTTACAATGTGCAATAATACGTGGGGCGAAATGAGTGGGAAATCTTGCCAACAGCACGTCGTGTTCCTCAAAAATGTCTTTAAATTCATTATCAATTTGCAATCACCATGATTTTCAAAACAAATTTTTCATTATTAGAAATAAAAAATAAAAGAAAATAATTGAGCTTTGAAGACAATTGAAAAGAATTTATGTCATACCATTTCACCTTTATAGTTTTTAAGGCGAGGATATCCTTTTAATACATCAGAAACTGTTATACTTTCAGAAGATTTGATTTCGATATACCTATTTGGCCGGGTTTCATACAGTAAACGTTCAATTTGAACCTTGACGGAATCAGTTGGCTTTATATACTTCATTTCAGAAATCTGATAAAAGAAAATAACATGTAAGTTGCGTGTACAGTTAGTTTTAACTATTTTTCAACTAAATACCTTTTCAATGAGGACAGATTCAGTTAATAGTGGTCTATTTATAAACGGTTCTTTTCTAAAAATTTTTCTTTTTTTACTTAGTGCTTCAGTAGAAGTTGTTGGTGCCCTGCGCTTGTCATTGCTGGGTAAATGCTTTCTTATAGTTTTCAGCCGCCACTCAAGGTAGCTCTCTCCAACAGCTTCGTCGTAGAAACTCTCCTACAAATTTAAAAAAGAGAACGTTTAAAACACAAAACCATTCTTACAGCACACAAACCATTACTTACATAAGAACGTCCTTCAATTTTTGATGACAATGTAGGAAATGTGGACATAATGGCCCTTGCAGCAGTAGTCTTATATTCCTTGGAAGGATACCTAAATATGAAAACAAAAGAAAACAATTAATCAATATTCTACAAAAGACAGATAAAAAGATTAACAAAAAATAAAAGAAAAGACTATGTACTTACGCGTTGCTCCATTCTGAGCACATTTCAGATACTACAATCTTTATCAAATCTTTTCGATGCTTGTTAGTAAATTTATTTGATTGCAAAATCTTGACTAAGTCTTTATGCTGTTCTAAGTCTTAATGCTTTTCAATCCATCTCCTAATATCAATAGGTTTGCTGTTCTGTAAATTATATATAAATGAGAGCTGATAATAGAAAAAGTAAACTTTTAGATAGAAAATTGTGATTAATGCCTTACATTAACTGTAGCGTTTGTCACAGTTGATGAATTAGCATCCGTTTCGTCCAGTTCCGTTTGTTCATTCTGAGCCTATACTAAAAGTAATAAATTAAACATAGATAAGTCCAATCTAAATCTTTTTGGAGTGGAATTAACCACAATTAACCACAATTAACAACATAATATTGTCAAAACCAGAAATGCTCTTACCGATTTACTTGTTGAACAAGAATTTGGTGTTGAGGGACCTGCAATCGTATTTGATGTGTTTGGTGAGTCAATCATAAGACCTGCTGATAAAAGAATGTATTAACTTTGAATCTTATGTATTAATATAAATGAACTTGATATACTGACCACATTGTTGTTTTCCCTAACAATAAATGTTATCAGCTTCCGTTGCCCCATTTCATTAACTCCAATTTCCTTTAAATCTTGCTCCGAAAAAAAGGAAGATTTGTACTAGTAGCTTTTTCCTCTAAAAAAAGGAAAAGCAGAAGGAAAAGCAGTGCACACTGACTTTGAAGTGTAGCAAATCAAGAATCAGTTTATTCATATGATTTATCACAACATCACATCCATCACTTGAAACAAGCTGTAACGTCCCGCTTTCGCGAGGCGGAGACGGATAACTCGGTCGGGATTCTGGGCTCGTGAAAGGGGTATCGAGACACGAATGACACTATGTATGGGTAAAATATAATTTATTGTCTGAGTGTGTGTGTGTGTTATACAGCGAGACTTGTGTAGGTGTACAAAGTGTGTGTGAGTGCACGCGAATGTACAATATAAGTATGTGTGCGTGTCACGGTACAATGCACGTATGAGTGCGAGAGCGTATAATGTACGTGTACGGATGTATGCGGATATATACCAAGTGTATGTGTGCGCGTCAGGGTACAAAGCACGGACGAATGTGAGAGCATATAATGTATGTTTGCGGATGTGTGTACGATGTGTATGTGTGCAAATATGCAATGCCGGGGGTGCACCCAAGGGACCGCGAGTGCGCGTAGCGCGATTCGCGCTTTCGGGTGTTCGGTCGAATATCGATTATAAATCGCGTCGCGTAAACCCGGCAGGAGCCGTTAGCTGTCGGATCGTGAGTTTCGGGTGCGCCGGTGGGCGGTCCTTATCCGCGCTCATCGATCCGGTACGTCGATCGGTGTCGCGGCAGGGCGCGTGTCGTCCTTCGGCGCGGGACTTATCGCTCCCGTAATAATGGCGCGTCGGCCTTAATTATGGCGGCTAACAGTCGGTCCGTCGAGATGTATAACGGTCAGATTTTATTCGCGTATCTGGATCGCGGGTGCGGATTTCGGGTTGTATCGGCCGACGAGAACTCCCGTCCGTGGTAGGGAACTCCCTTGCCACGAGAATGCTGCCGATGCACCAGGTGGATGGGCCGAAAACTCTCGGTTGGGTCGAGTACGCCCGATCCCGTATACCTCTTAATTGCGGTGGTGTCAGGATTGCTCGTAGAGATGCCGCAAACTCTCGGCGGAGGCTGGGTACACCCAACCCCGTTGTTCTTTCTCTTAGGAGCGTTTAAGGATCTCGGAATTGCTCAGGCGTCTTACTGACTCTGGCGGATCGGAGGATCTGGTCCCGATAACCGAAAACGCGCTCTATTTATACTAATTTTCCGGCGCGCGCGTCTGCGTAATTCGCTTAATTGTTCTAATGGTAACATCGTCGAACCGGCGCGCGCGACTCGGGTATTTTCGGTAACGGTCGGGTCGTCGGTTACCCGAGCGCGTCGCCGATTCTGGATGTTTGCGCGCGCCTAAACAGCGGTTTGATAGACGCGTGTTTCGGTTACGTTTAAAAATGGGCGCTCGGCGCCTCCGCATTTGCCCGACCGGTGTTCGTCGGGCGGCGGACTTCCGGCGGATCGGCGGCCGGGTAACGGTAGAGAGATGCATCGTTACAAAGCTAAATATAAAATAGCATGCAAGAGCATGCAAAAGTGCAATTTATTTTTAAGCTCTTAATATTTAAAGTGAGTCTAAACACAAACTCTATATACCATAAACAGTTTTAATTAATAAGCTCACAATGAATGAGTTTAGGATCAATACCTAATCTATCTGCTGAAATATTTACAAAACAAACAAGAAAACACAAGTAGTGTGATATTGTATCAGTAGAGAAACCGTAAGACACTGCAGATATATGCAATCGTCAACTTAACAACTTAAAATATGGCACATCATTTAAATAAAAAAAAGCAATTCAATCTGCAAGACATGACAGAAAACATTAGCTAACTTTTTTTTCATTTAAGCTCTAATAATATCGGGTCTGTTATTTTATAGAAACCTGGATTGGATTTTTTGATTGACATTCCATACGTAATCTTGCTGTTAAACCTAGAATAACAAAATAATGCGTAAACTAATAATAAGTGTTTAGAGAGAGACTAGCTCTTCCATTTTTATATTTTAATTTCATTCTAATTTAATCCAATGAAACACAAACCGGGGAAGTGATTAGCACACACTCAAGAAAATACTGCAATAAAAGTTAAACCTACTTATCCGCACCTTAACTTAATTAATTTAAAGGATTAATTTAATTAAAATATTACATTTTGCACAGGTTTTTTAGCAGTTATAAGTAAAAATTTAACTTCCTATATTAAACATTCTCTATAAACTATTCCTATATACTAAATCAGGATATGACGCAAAGTTATAAAATTTCCAATGCTACAATAATCTCGCCAAGAAGCAAAAGGCTTTATGTTCTTTAAGTCATCAGCTGATATTAAAATAATATTTAAGCCTGAGGCCACACTGAAAGAATTTAAAGAACGTTCATAACCCAGAGTTTTTCATTCACGACACAGAAAATAAACCCTATCAGATTCATAAATATATATTTTCATTATTTTAGCAAACACAGGATTTCCTGATTCAGTTTCTCGTCCACTCTTGGCAGCAACATGCCCACTTCGGTATTGAACACCATATATTTCTACTTGTGATGTTTCAAATATGTTTACATTGTCCGCTATCCCTACTACTTTCAAATACTCACAACCCTGACAATTTTTAACCAGAACTGTCTCTCCCTTTGAACAGATTATTTTCTTTCTTACGGCATCGTCAGAACCCCAAATGACACATTCTGAAATTTGACTCAGCCGGATCATGCTAATACGTAAATTTTTGAAGTTGCAGCATTGACTTCCATATTTTTTGAATATGCTATGCTTTGCTTCATAGTGCATACATATTATGGATCTAAGTGGCCCAGACTTTATCAAACATTCCCCGTAATGCATTAAATGATGGAATTTTTTTATAAGTGCAACATTGGGAAAAAGTTCCTTAAAACTTGAAACAAATTCCAATACCAAGTCCTGTAAGTAAGGAGCTTGAGATAGTGATGCGATTAGACTAAAGACTAGTTCACTAATTCTATTCAACAGAAGAACAGGATGCAAGTATTCGTCTTCTTTAGGTACTTTATCAGAGACCATGAAAGGAAATATTCTCAAGAGACACCATGTTTGCACAGCTTTCTGCTGAATCAAGTTACCATTGTAAAAATTACTGAGAGCAAAATTAGGTGACGGCTTATTTTTCTTTTTTTGGCATACCATTCTGAAACATCTGTATTCGGTTGTTTAGCTCAGTCAAAGTCAAGTTATATCTATTTTCTCTCTTAATAAAATGTTTGATTACGTACTCAAGAACTACAGATGCAATACCTTGCCAAATGTCATACATTGAATCAAAAACGAAATTCTCTGCGCAGTGCCAGAAACGACTTCTATGTAATGCACTATTTTCTTTTAAACCCGTTTCAGTATCGGTCAATAACTTTGATTTGACTTTCCGTACTTGTTCATCATACAATTCTTTCGTTCTTGAAATTTTAATTTCTACTCTTCCTTTAAGGAGATCAGACCTATGTATCATGCATAAACGACAGAAGTGGTTAGCAGAAGGACCCAAGAATCCGAACATCTGATGTGCAGCTAAACCATCAGCAACTACACAAGCTATGGTGGCCTTCAATACAAACGGTTCTCCATCAAAACTTACCATAACTCCTTCTTCACTTTCCAACTTGTTTAAATCATCAAGAAATGGACTAAAAATTTCCTTAAAACCATATTTAGTAACAACAACTGTGTAACAAAATCCAAAAACTTGAACTAACTGCTCCCATAAATGATTGCAAATAAGGAGGCAAATTTTGAATAGTGAAGTAAAATGCTCCTAATTTGTGAGCTGATGTTTTACTTCCTAGAGGATTGTTGACAACTATATCATCATAATATAATTGGATTCTTAATGCTTGTGGATATTTCTGAAAAAATGAATTTTTTTTTAAGCTTTCCCCATCTCTGAAACCTCTCATAAATCCATCTAAAGAAGAAGATTCTTCTTCAATATATTTTCTAACACGTGGATGTGAAAGTATTAATTTAAGACTCTCAATTATTGGAACATATTGAAAACTTTCAATAACTAACTTTGGTTCGTATTCACCAGATTGTCTATTCAGCACTGATTCACAACGGTCTCCAAGCGGAATCTCAACGAAGTCTACCAATTTATAATACATTTTTAAAGCTTTCAGTTGCTCTTTAATGGATGAAAATTTATTCAAAGGAGCAGAAATCTTAAACTTAGAGAGTAAATTCTGAATATCAGCCTGATTTAATGATATACCCTTACTTGAAAAATAATTCATAACTTCTTGCTGAAAAAAGTTTGCAATGTTATAAACAAAAACTTCTGCTGCCGTACAAGCTTGAGTCAAACTAGCCCCTGTAATAGATGCGTTTGATCTAAGATGAGCAACCATTTTTGCAGCCTCTCCTAATACACTAAACACTTTTTGAAATTCATATTTAGAATTGTTACTCTCAGGCACACTAGAATAACTATCCTCAGGATCTTCATTAGAGTCTACCTCCATATGATTTTGAAATAAAAATGACTCGTTATTTCTGTTCCTTACAATTGGATGTTTAACACGAAGATGTCTAATCAAACTATTGAAATTTCTAAACATACATTGACATTCATCCTGTCCACATTGATATCCAAAACTATAGGGAGCTGACACTGACAAACTATGTGAATATCTTATATGCGCTATGAAATGTTTCAATCCATTCGGAATAAATTTATGGCACATTGAACAAGTGTAGCCTTCCATTGGTGACACAGTTTGATTGTAAACAATAACAAGAGACACTTTGTTTACAAGCCTAAAATTAACCAACCAATAGATATTTAAATAAATTTACAAGCCAAGATCTAAAATTAAATAATATTTCGTTTAGGAGCCTAAAATTAATCAACCATTAAACATATTCAAATAACTTAACAAGACTTAAAAAAAACAACAATATTATTACGTTACTTTTCTATCCCACCAAACTAATACATACTTAATAAAACATTGATTGTGTTCTCATTAACTCCTCTCTGTTGAAGATATATGGCCAAAGCCTCAGGATCCATCATTGCATTCTGAAACATTTAAAATTAATTTATTGGAAGTTAAAAACAAACCAGCCATGGGCACTTTTTATTTGATTAACAAATAATATTATAATAAAATATTTGTTAATAAAATATTATTAAAATACTTTTTTATATGTTATTTGTAAACAATATTTAAAAGTTAGTTGTAATAATGAAAACAAATCCAAATAATTTATTTAAAAATAAATTAGAAAAAAATTCAATTAATTATCTTCCAACAAACTTTTATTTTAATAACCAAATAAATTTCAACTAATTTTGAAAAAAAAATTTTTTAAGCAATTTTTAATAACAACTCATATTCTTTTATCCCTATCTAAAAGAGGCATGTTATGTCGATAATCGAAAGTCTCGAAGTGTATTGTTGCCTCTTTTCCGCGATGCTGATTGGTTCTGTCATTGCGCTTACTTCGTGAGCGGCTGTCATTGCATATTTTGACAGTTATTTTGTGTATATATCGTTAAAAATGTTTAATGAAAAAGAATAAAAGGCGCGCGCGAAGCGCGCGTTGTGTTGTACTAGTAAATAATAAAAAAACATTAGTAAACATTAAATACATAATGAGCTATAGTTTATAATAAATAGATATATAAACAGTATGTATAATGGCAGTTCTAGATAAAATTATCAATTTATTTGACAATTCATATTGAGATTTTATGCAAATAAAAAAAAGTATTTGAAAATACATTATTTGCAAATAAATTATTTTCAAATATAATCTCAATATAAATTGTCAAATTTTTTAATTTTGTCTAGAACTGTCATTATACATATTGTTTATATGTATATATATTGTAAACTATAGCTCATTATGTATTTAATGTTACTAACGTTTTTTATTATTTATAAGAGAATATATAAGTTGCTATTAAAAATTGCTTAAAAGATATTTTTTCTTAAAATTAGTTAAACATTATTTTTTTGGTTATTCAAATAAAAGTTTATTTAAAGATAATTGAATTTTTTCTAAATAATTTATTTTTGAATAAATATATTATTTAGATTTGTTCCCATTATGACAATTAACTTTTATCAAATGCTAACTAACTTTAATCAAATAATGCCCATATCTGAGACGAACTAAAAGTGATTCGAACGAAGAATAAAAACAGAATGTCTTCATATTTTATTTTTTCTTTAAAGAAAGTCAAATGTAACTCTAAAGCCTATATGATGCAACAAAGAGATAACAAATCTTTATAATTCTTCAAACAGAAACTACATGAAATATAACCTTTTACGATTTTTCTTCTCAATAAGCATCGTTTAAGCAATAAATATTATTTTCGTTCTATCAAAGATGATGAGGTTTTAAGTATTAACGTTTCTCTGAACATTTTTTTAACAAATTAACTTAACCAACGCTCTAAAATAACAGATAGAAATGCCATGTGGTGAGGTTATACTTACTTCAGGAAACATGTTTTATTTCACAATAGCACGATATTCACAGCATATATTTATTATATTCACTATGTATATAATATCCACAATTGTTAAAAATTTTTAGGCAGACGAATATAAGCGCCTGGTTTCTCCCTCCAACAAAGCTGCTATCAACATGGCAAGTACAGATAGGCGTCATAACCTATGTAGTCGCGTCTGCGCACGTACTGAATGTAATGTAACTACTTGCCCACGAATGTTATAAACTTCATATGAAAGAAAAAAATTCTTATAAATTTTACGAACAATATTCTACCTATGTACTTCCATAAATATCGTTCTGCTATTTTTTCGGAACGTGATGATGACTCACGTAGTATAACACGTCACGTCTCTTGCGCGGCTATTCGACTAAATCACTCCGTTCAAGTGGATTTTTACTCGATTCGAGTTACTTGCAGCCAGAGTGCCAAAATTCACTCCAACACCGAGTGAATAAGGTAAATATAGCGAATAGGGCACCCAGCCCCAATGACCTTGACCTTGCGATTGTATAACAATTACTAAAACTTTAAAGGTTATTATAAATATAATAAATATTAAGACATTTAATAGAATTCGATAAAATTGGAAGTAATGTAACTAGAGATATTTTCTGTAATAAATATAAAATTATAGAATAAATTAGAAATAAAAATTACCTTCTCCTCACACCAATCACCAATATTGAAAACTATTACACTGCACAAACTATAACACAGTGAATCGCGTTGAGACAAAAAAATCGGAAATCACTCTGCGCTGTGCTACGGTCTGCGTAGAAATGTATGTTAACCTTGTGACGTGACGTTTTTGGGACGTCCGTCACAAGGGCCGAATGGTCCGATCGGGGGCGGTTTTTCGGGAGCCTGCGTCCTCTCTATTTAGGGAGAGAGTGGCCCAATCGTCAGATCGACGAGATCTGACTTTGTTAGTAATAGTATCGAAAATGTAAGCTCGAGATGAGCCCGCGAGTTGGTTGTCGGCACGAGATCGAGCGGCGGGATCCCATCCGGCGGAAGAAAAGGAAGAGAGAAGAGCGACGGCCGAGAGCGGGAGTCCAGGACAACCAGGAAACAGGAGACACCAGGTCGTAGTTGTCTAATATTAAAAACATTTTTGATGGCTGACAAACATCGCTGCCGGTAAATTTATATTTCTTATGGCAGGAAAGGAGCGAGAAGGGCCGGAATAATCCAGCCAAAGGGGTGGCCACTCCACCCGCACGAAGCGAGGGAATCCCAAGGACGGAGCGGCGAGCGGACTCTCAATCCGGAGCCTATTCGACCAAATAGGAAAGAGAGCCGATCGGGCGCAGCCGTAAGCCCGCACCTTTAAGCCGAACAACAGAAAATCTTGGAAATTCCGGGGCGATGAACCCACCAACACGGCCGTGAGGACAACAAGGATCGCGAGGACCGCAGGACGGCCCTGCGTAACGCGAAAGCGCCTCAGGTGGCACAATAGCAATTTATCGCGCCGGCGTGTCTCCTGCAGGACTCTCGCTCGGCACTGTTCGGCGAGATAGCGAGAAGGACGCAGGCCTCGTAGAGCGCAGCCTAATTATCGAACAGGAAGGAAAATCGAAAGCTTCCAGCCGGTGGGACGAGCGTCGTCGACCGATTTTGTTGCCGAATAATTGTAGGTAATTAATTCGGATTCGCGCCCTTAATAGTTGTCGAGCCACGCGTTTTGGTGAATTAACTTTGTGAATATTTTTGGTAGATTAAGTCGCACGGCCGACGGGCACATGTCGCTCATCCGAATTATATAAAATAGGCTCTCTCTATTCATTTCGCCGCCGCCGACAATCATTAATGTTAGTCTCGCGTTTGTAATTAGTACGTGTTGTAAAGTATCGGGATTTTCACGCTCGCGCGATCGATATTCCGGATCGCGCAAAGTATTGCGTCATACGACTCGTACACCACAGTCGTCACCGATAGTTTTCGTATTCTTTTTGTGTATTGTTAGCAGTTATTTTGTACACGCTATGCGTAATTAGAGTGAGGAGAAAGCGCAATTCTCCGGTATCGAGCAGAGTATCTATCGGGTGTTTGTGACCCCGT